CCTGTTGCTAGGCTAGGATGGCTGGATGTCACAAATCCATCTTGCTAATCTCCCTAGCTTGTGGTTTTGTTACAAGCGAGACAAGGTATCTTGGCAAAGATGACTTTGTGACCGATAGATGATCCTTGTGGTTTGGCTTTTCACACTTCCTTGTTCTTTCTTTTGCTAATACCACATATTTCACTATCTATAAAACTTGTATATTTCTCTAAAATTAATATATTTTTATGTCCTATAGAGTAATATAAAATATTTCACTTCCGTATTTTATTGTCTAACCATTGATAAAATAAGACCCATGTTTTATAAAATTGTTTATTTTCTTGCTCTCTAATTTCAAATGTCAATTTACTCATTTCTGCGCAGTCCATAATTTTCTTGATTTCTCCTCCGTTGGAATTTTCTCGTTTTTCCAGTTTTTAGCAAATACAATCCTAGCCGCTGTTAAAACATTGACTGTCAAATATATCATTTCTCTACTGTATATTTCAGGTATAATACCCAATAAAAATATCTCTGGCTTAAAATCTATATGTTTCTTTGTCATTTTTTCTAACCACGTGTGGATTTTTGACCAGTATCTTCTAGCCTCTGCACATGTCCACCACATATGGTAATATGATCCAGGTATCTGATGACACTTCCAACACTTCTCCGACTTATTCTTGAACGATCTTGCTATTCTTGCCACCTGTAAAACATCTTATACAAATTCTCTTTATATACTGTCGACATTGTCATTTTGTAATTTTGAGACCATAATTTTTGCCATTTTTCTAAATCTATACCATATCCAAAATTCTTTCCCCAAGCAATCATTGTTTCTTTAACTTGTTCTTCTTCTAACTTAACCTCTAATAAATTTCCATATAGTTTTTTAATCACCTTCTCATCAGTGCCTGTCAAAATTTTATCCAACTCAGTTAGTTTATCATAAAAACCTTCTGTTTTAAAGTCTTTATCATATCTAGATTGTATTTGCACATATGAAAACCAGTTCATCCTTATTTCTTGTTATTCTAGTTCTTGCACAGATTTAAGTTCACCCTTTTCATTTAATATTTCGCCATATTTGACTGTTTGTTCCATTTTATAAATTACTGGATAGGCAAGTGCTTCAATGGTTCACAACCAGACTGATATTTTTAAATAATGTTGTCTTTTGATTTTCTACCATATTAAGAGTAATGCCTCTCGTATATAATGCCTCCTAAAATACCCATGTGTTTGTCCCCTTGTACCATAAGAAGGCATGCCATCCCAACAACAAATCATGGCCTTCTAGTGTCAATAATTTAATATTTCTTAATGTTATCCATTCCTTAACCCACATCAATGTTGTCACCTGGTAGTATAATTCCCAATTGTGTAAACCAAAGCCTCCTCTTGTTCTAGAATCTTGTAGTAATTTTAATTTAATTCTCGCCTTCTTCCTCTGCCAAATATATTTCGATACTATTTTATTTAAATCTTCAAAATACTCTTTCCCTAGTTTAATTGGAATTGTCTGGAACAAATATAAAATTCTTGGTAATATATTCATCTTAATTGTAGATATTCTCCCTATTAAATATAATTGCAAATTTTCCCATTTTGCCAAGTCTGTCACAATCTGTTGCTTGAGCTTATAATAATTATCCTCTTTAAGTGTACCACATCTAGCCGTTAAATTTATTCCCAAATATTTAACTTTGTTTGTGACCTGTATCTTCAAGGGCTCAGTCAAATCTTTCTTTTGTTTTTCAACTATATTCTTTGTCAGGATCTTCATTTTGTCTTTATTTATTTTCAAACCTGCCATATGAGTCCGATTTAGGTGATCCCAAATTCTTAACAAATTTTCGGGACAACGAGATAAAGTCAACAAACAAGAATTTATTATACTTTTGCAAAAGCAGGTGATTCTGAATCCCTCTCTGGTGAGTTGGAGTCAGAAGAGCCAGGCACTTCCTTTTTCAACACAATTTATAGTGAATGTCCTTTTGAACTTGCGGTTCAAGTATTCTATCGAAACAGGAAACCTTACAGCAAGCAGCCAGGCAGGAAATATTTGTGGTTACATGTTTTTCAGCTTAAAAAACATAACTGTTATGAGCAAGCATTTTAGCAAAGAAGGAACTCTCCTGGTCATCCAATCCAACCTCCCTTGTTATACATAATATAAATTATTTAAAAGAATTCAAAATAATGTTTCTTTGATCCACAACCGTCAATATGTCTCAATTGTTTCTATTAATTTGGACGCTGATTCTAATGGATCCTCCAGAATGAAAACCAGGTCATCTGCAAATGCTTACAATTTATATTCTTCCCTCTTAATTTTCATTCCCTTTATTTCCCTATCTCCTCAAATGTTTCTATTTAGTACCCTTAAGGTCAACACAAACAACAGAAGTGACAGTGAGCAACCTTGCCTTGTTCCTTTCTTAATATTGATGTTTCCTGTTAATTCTCCATTTATCATTACCTTTGCTGATTGTCTATCATATATTGCTTGAATGGCTTGAATAAATTTTTCCCCAAAGCCCATCTGCTCCAATTGTAATAACATAAACCGCCAATTCACATTGTCAAAGGCTTTTTGTGCATCTAAGAATATCAAAGCCATTTGATTCTCAGGATGTGTCTCGTAATATTCCAAAGTGACCAGAATTATTCTCATATTGTCTTTGTCTCTTTGGCAGAAATCCATTTTGATCAGAATGTATAAAATTATTAAAATCTTTTAAGTCTTTCTGCCATATTTTATAATCTGAGTTCAGTCGTGAAATAGGCCTATAATTCTTAATTTGTTGTCGGTCAGCGACCGGCTCTAAGGCAATCTGAGATATGCTCAGATGGTTTCATGGCTGTGGTGGCCATTTGCATCCATTTTATTGCCTGGGCGGGGTTGTATAATTGTTTTTATATTACTTATTGCTTAGTATAGATTTTTTACATTTTTATATATGTCATTTATATGGCTACGGTTTTTAATCTGATTCTACATCACCCACCACCCATTGGGGGGGGGGGTATAGAAATTTCATTTATAAATAATTTTAAAATGTAAGTTTTTGAGGTTGACTGTAGAGGGGCTAAACTGTAGGAGAAATAATAAAGAAAGGATACAAATAAACAAAGTAGGATTTAAACTGGGTGGTGGTAAAAGGGGAAGTCAGGGTCAGATAGCAAATACTTTATTAGTTAACAATAATATGTTAAATCCCTATTGCGTTTTTTACCCCACCCCTTCATAGTACCTGTGAAAGCTTTCTGACAATTGGGACATTCAAAGGGCTCCTCTTCTGTGTCAGTTCCCTATTGTTCCACCAGGTGGGAATTCCAACTGAAACTTTTCCCACAATCCAAGCACTCATCCTGTATGAATCCTCTGATGTCTCACCAGGTGAGAATTGCAACTGAAAGCTTTCCCACAATTGGGCACTCATAGGGTTTCTCTGTGAGAACTCATGTGTGTCACTAGGGCAGAATTACGACTGAAACTTTTCCAACAATCTGGACATTCATATGTGCATTCTCTGGTGTATCACCAGGTCGGAATTTTGACGAAAACTTTTCCCACAATCCAAACACTCATACGGTTTCTCCCCAATGTGAGTCCTCTGGTGTATCACCAGGTTAAAGTTCTGACTGAAACTTTTCCCACAAACCGGACACTCATAGGGTTTCTCACCCGTGTGAGTCCTGTGGTGTTGCACTAGACTGGATTTATAAGAAAAACTTTTCCCACAATCTGAACACTCATACGGTTTTTGTCCTGTGTGAATTCTCTGGTGTCTGACCAGAGTGTAATTTTGACGAAAACTTTTCCCACAATCTGGACACTCATATGGTTTCTCGTCCGTGTGAGTCCTCTGGTGTTGCACAAGGCTGGATTTATTAGTGAAACTTTTCCCACAATCCGAACACTCATACGGTTTCTCCCCAGTGTGAGCCCTCTGGTGTATCACCAGGCAAGAGTTCTGACAGAAACTTTTCCCACACTCTGGATACTCGTATGGTTTCTGTCCTGTGTGAATCCTCTGGTGTATGACCAGATAGGAATTCTGCTGGAAATTTTCCCCACAATCCGGACACTCATATGGTTTCTCACCCATGTGAGTCCTCTGGTGTATCACCAGGCAAGAGTTCTGACTGAAACCTTTCCCACAGTATAGACACTCATATGGTTTCTCACCCGTGTGAGTCCTCTGGTGTGTCACCAGGTTAGAGTTCTGACTGAAACTTTTCCCACAATCTGGACACTCATATGGTTTCTCGCCCGTGTGAATCCTCTGGTGTATCACCAGGGAAGAGTTCTGACAGAAACCTTTCCCACACTCTGAACACTCATATGGTTTCTGTCCTGTGTGAATCCTCTGGTGTTTGACCAGATTGGAATTTTGACGAAAACTTTTCCCACAATCTGAACACTCATATGGTTTCTCCCCAGTGTGAGTCCTCTGGTGTTGCACAAGGTGAGAGTTCCGACTGAAACTTTTCCCACAATCTGGACACTCATATGGCTTCTCGCCTGTGTGAGTCCTCTGGTGTTGCACAAGGGTGGATTTATTAGTGAAACTTTTCCCACAGTCTGAACACTCATACGGTTTCTCCCCAGTGTGAGTCCTCTGGTGTATCACCAGGGAAGAATTCTGACGGAAACTTTTCCCACACTCTGGACACGCATACGGTTTCTGTCCTGTGTGAATCCTCTGGTGTATGACCAGATTGGAATTCTGCTGGAAATTTTCCCCACAATCCGGACACTTATATGGTTTCTCACCCGTGTGAGTCCTCTGATGTATCACCAGGCAAGAGCTCTGACTGAAACTTTTCCCACAGTATAGACACTTATATGGTTTCTCTCCCGTGTGAGTCCTCTGGTGTTTGATAAGGCTATAATTATTACTGAAACTTTTCCCACAATCTGGACACTCATATGGTTTCTCCCCAGTGTGAGTTCTCTGGTGTATAACCAAGTAGGAATTATGTCTAAAGCTTTTCCCACAATCTGGGCACTCATATGGTTTCTCTCCTGTGTGAGTCCTCTGGTGTTTCACCAGGTCAGAATTCCAACTGAAAGCTTTCCCACAATCTGTACACATGTATGGTTTCTCCCCAGTGTGAGTTCTCTGGTGTCTAACCAAGTAGGAATTATGGCTAAAGCTTTTCTCACAATCTGGGCACTCATATGGTTTCTCCCCAGTGTGAGTTCTCTGGTGTGTAACCAAGTAGGCACTACGACTGAAGCTTTTCCCACAATCTGGACACTCATATGGTTTCTCCCCTGTGTGAGTCCTCTGGTGTTTCACAAGGTTAGAATAATTATTGAAACTTTTCCCACAATCTGGACACTCATATGGTTTCTCTCCTGTGTGAGTCCTCCGGTGTATCATCAGGGAAGAGTTCCGACTGAAACTTTTCCCACACTCTGGACACTCAAATGGTTTCTCTCCGGTGTGTGTCCGCTTGTGTATCACCAGCATGGCATGCTTACTAAACTTTTTGGCACACTGTGGGCACTCATAGGGCTTTTCTCCATTATGGGTTCTTTTATGCTCAAGAAGTTGGGAAGTGTAGTGAAAAACTTCACCATATTCGGGGCATTTGTATGGTTTTTCACCAGTGTGGATCTTCTGATCCATAATCAGCTCTGATTTTTAATCTGTGCTTTTCTGACAATATGAACATCTGTGGAGCTTTTCTACCACTGATAGTCTTAGATTCTTGATTCTTTCTTCTTGGATGGTTCAAGCTGTTTGTTTCCTCACAGGGTCTGGAATGAGTATTTCCACCCCACAGATTTCTAGATATTTCCTCTTTTTCTGATCTGGAAATGTTCCACCTTTATTTTTTGATATAATGTTTCCTTGAATTCCATA